GATGCGGAACAGCCCTAAACACTTCAGAAAGTCTAAATCACAAAAAACATCATTTGTAAACAGTTAAGATTCCTTGAAAAATGGCGATTAACTGAAGAAGGATCCTGAAAGCGATGTGGGTGTGAAAGAATCTTATATGCAGAATTACTGCCGTTTTTCACGATATTCTGGCTCGACATTAAGCAGTAGCTTTGCTACGGGTAACAATGCTTTGCTTCTCTTTGCGATTTTAAGCATATTTTTTTTAGAGGGGGAGAGGGGGCTTTGTTCACAATCTTTATGAATATCATTTTTCTGTTATAATATTCTAACCAATGCCGAGAAAGTCTCTGCGGATTATTTTGTAAGTATGACGGTAATCGTGACCTTAAATCGGCGAAGATTTGACCCTGCCAGTTGAATGGAATGTTTAGTGACATTCGTCTAATGCCTTACGATTTTCCGGCTATAATGCGCCACTAATTCTAAGCCGGAAGCTGAAGGCTTTTTTAAAAACGAGTCATTTTGGAAAATTTTCTGTATAATAAATTGTCAGCTTTCTGCAATTCAGCAAGCAGATTATGAGGCATCTTTTGTTTCCAACTTTTTAACCACTGCAATTCTCTGCCAACCAACTGTGTTGTGTGAAGCTCTAAGTTTGGAAAAAACAATTTTTTCCACTTTTTCCAGTCAAGTTTAGCGGCTATTTGCCACTTCTGATAGTGAAGAATTGCTTTATCTGAAAGCATCTAACTTTCATTGATTTATTCTTGCTTGAAAACGTTGCAGAACATTTCTGTAACAGTAAGTTGGTTTACCAAAGACTTTTTGAATGCTTTTTTCAGGTTTTGCTAACTGCATTCGACAGTAACTTCTCTTTGTTTTCAGAAGAAGTTTAGAAATAAAAGCTTAAAAATGAAATGAACTGGAAAACAGGGATAGACACTGAACTTTGCAAGGCTTTATAAACCGGTTAAAAATCTTTCTTATTCAAAGAGATTTGGTAAATAAAAGTTTTTAAACTTTTATATACTTATCACGCAGTAAAAAAAGCACATTATTAGGTGTTACTTTACTGACAAATGAAACAAGTATTTGATCCAAGCACAATAAAGTATTTTGTGTCTAAGTAGACAGACTGAAGAATTCTTCTAGTTGGTATATACAGTGTTCTATAATTTATCGCTCTAAGGGTAGTTCGGAGATGTCAAAAAAATTCTTCAGTGTAATGACAGAGCTTTTGTCATGAAAATCATCGAATTTTTTAGCTAACTCATAATAAGCTTTATTTATTTATTAATTTATTTTTTTGATTAATTATTTCTTTTTATATGTACACAGTTTTACAACTATATAAATGCCTTTTCGTTTTCTAAGAAATTAAAGGCATCACTTTTGCAGTCAGCAGAAAACATCAAAATCTCTTACACGGCTTCAAAGACTCTCCCAACAAGTCTGATACAGTTTTCAACCTTCAACTATTGCTGTTAATTGTTACAAAAAAAAAGAGTCAATCATCTTTTTGAATTGCAGTGATTTGGTTTAGAGAATACGTTACAACAATTTTAAAGCTAATTTGAGCAAAGCTGTCAGACTAAACTTATAATGATTCTGTCGTGGGTTTAAATATTTTTTCAATTGATTTTGCTTTTTAATGACTTTTATCTTTCTTTATTTTCATGGTTTTTAGACCATAAACATTCAGTTTTTCACAAGTCAATTTTCTTAAAACTTATGCTAGCAAAAGCTACTGGTACTCAGTAAGTTGAAAGTCATAACTTTTTGGCACGGTCATGTGTATTCATAGCACTGCTGAATGTTTGCATCAGTTGCTACAAGAAAAAAATTTGCAGAAATGACATACAACAGGAGTTTTTGGGATAAAAACTTCACTGAAACAGACTGTTTTTTATTATAGTAAATATTTTTTCAATTATCTAGAAAATAAGTTCCAAAAGACCGACGGCATGAGACCTGTAACGTAACGTTATGGCATTATACCGATTACAAAGAACTGCTTTTGTTATTGAAATTAGGTGGAAATAAAGAGACTCACTTAGTTGTTTGATTTCTTTACAACTTTTCATAAGCTTATTTAAAACATTGGACCAGGCTTATTCCAAAAGCAGAAGTATTTTTGTGTAAAATTCTAAACATTCAAATGTGTATCTTAACAGTACAACAAAACAAAAAATTAGAGGTTACGTGGATGCAGGGTTTTAGGCATGTAACTTTATCAAGGGTACCGCTAATTTTAAATGATTTCAAGAACTATGTAATCGTTTAAATTGCAAGAGCTTATGCTTCTGTTATTTAGTCCTTCCTTAATTAGTAACAAACAAAAATCAGCAAAATTTATTTATTTTTTTGCTTTATTCTATACATTATGGAGAACACATAAGAAGGAATTAGTAGTGTGTGAATATCATTTTTACAAACACGTAAAAAACTTAAGCATGTTTTGCAGATTTTAAATTATGGCGGACGATACTCATTGACTGCATACCCAATATGTGATTGAAATTCTGCACAAATTTTCTTTTATCAATTCTTACACTAATGTTTTATCGTATCGTTCAAATAAATACCTTAAAGTGTAGATACTTTCAGAACTTAGAAAGATGCCTGTTCTGTACCGATCGCACAGCAAAATCAAGATGAGGACTAACTATCAAGAAGAAGAAAGAATTTTTTTTTTTGGTCATCTAGAGTCACCAGAAGAATCATTATGTATAAGTAAAGTATTTTTTCACCGTCATAATTGACCAGATGAACCAACGGTACAATATTTCCTCTCTTTGCCTTCTTTTTTCATCATTTTTACAGCATTAATTTTTAACTTAGAAAACTTTGTAGGTATTTGTTCAATTGTTCCTATCATGATCAAACTACAGTTTTTAGCAGTACAAGGGAAATTTTCAAAGAGGTTTTTAAAACTGATAATGTTTGTGCACTTAACTGAATAACTCATAAGTTCAGAAGCATACACCTTTATTTCTTTGGTAATTACTGTTAGCTTTCTGTTTTTATAATGGCCTTGTTCAAATTCGACGTTTGCCCTTGTGGCACTCAATAGTATGCGCATTAGTAGTATCCAAAACTTTGGTAGACCAAATTTGGTTTCGATTTGAAATCATAGAGCAATAAAAGAATTTCAAAATTGACACTGTTAGATGGCTTATGTAAGATTACGGTTTTGGGAAGAATTGAAAGGCAGATATGAAACTGCTGTGGCTCCTATCAGGATCGAAACGAGCGCTGGGTGCATAAAGTACATATAAATGTGTTCGTCACCGCTATTGCCAAAACTTTTATGACCTTTTTAAAATGAAGGGGCAAAAACTGAATCGACCTTATATGACGAATGGATAGCGTAAAGATGGACAGACTGATTGTTTTTAATTGAGATTAATTTTAAAAAGTTGAGAACATTCAAGAAAGTTGGTTAAATTTTCTGGACATACGATTGGGAAAGAATAACAGTTGTCTTAAGAAAAGGCTTGATTAGCTCAAGGAAGGAACTGGAATCACCAGTAGCTTTTTTTCTTCAAACATTGGTTTCCAAGATGACAAGCTATTGTTTATCCTAATCTAGATGAAGGACTGCATCTTCACTGTTCAGTCATGCTCATCTGATCACTGCAATATCGTCACCCTTTTATAGGAAGTATGATTTTGAATCTGGGAAGTTTACTACGAGTTGAAAAAAACTTAAATTAAAACCTTCGATAAGGAATTCTTTATTCTTGCTGCTCTTAATTTGACTTTCCTGTTCTTTAA